ATACTGTGTATAGCTTTTCAGTTGGTTTAAAAAAACAACTTAGTCATATTTCCAAATCAGTACAAATAAATTCACACATTGATCAAATATTTAATTGACAAATATTTATTAAACTCTTTGTCTGCGGCAGCCTCTGTGCTAGGTGCTGTTAGTATACTGATTAGCAAAACAGATGAAGGTCCAAACTCTGTGGAGCATATGGTCTAATATGTAGGTCTCCCTTAATTCTTTTGAATGGTTTGTAGTGCTTCCTTGTGTATTATTTATTGCTGTATAATAGATTACCCCAAAACTTATCTCACATAGTTTCTGAGCGTTAGGAATAAGGAAGTGCATTCGCTGGGTGCTTCTACTTGGGGTTTTTATGAGGTTGCCATCAAGCTGTTGGTGGAGGCTGCAGTCATTTGGAGGATGGTTAAGTGCACCTCAGTTAGCAAACCCAAGAGAGCTGGATTCTGGCCTGTCAGTGGGAAAAGCTCAGAATACGCATTGGCAGCATTGGATACCTTTGGAAGTGGTAGTGAAGATGACACTGTAAATGCAAGATTGAATGTTTGAGAAACCCTAATTCCCTTCCCTGCAGCCAGAACTTCTGCTCTGCCTAGGGGTTTCCTCACTGGAGATACTTGACGCTTGGGAGCACCAGGCACATTGGAGGTCAGAAATACTGTCCTAAATCAGCAGACATAAGTGAACCTTTGAAAGATTAATAAGTAAAGAAGGTTGTAAAGTAAATTTTCAAATATACACCCAACCCAGATCCCAGAATATTGACACCCAGAATTTTACCTCTTCACCCACGAGACTGACAGTATCTTCTATTGAAGACCTCCCCAAAACACTGAAAATACTAGTATAGATTGTTCTCTAACAAAACAGCCCCACTCTTTATTTAATCTCGCAATCCACAAGCCCCACCCAGGCACATAAAACTCCCAGTTTTCGGTGCCCTTCTCATTAGACATCTGAGGGAAACCTCTTAATTTGAAAGATAGATATCAAAACAAACAACCTAGAAAATACTGTTTTAAGATACCAGACTAGGGCTGGGCACGGTGACTCCCGCCTGTAATCCCTAGCACTTTGGGAGGCCTAGGCGGGCAGATCACGAGGTCAGGAGTTCGAGACCAGCCTGGCCAATATGGTGAAACCCTGCCTCTAATAAAAATACAAAAATTGGCCAGGCGTGGTGCCACGTGCCTGTAGTCCCAGCTACTCAAAAGGCTGAGGCAGAAGAATCGCTTGAACCTGGGAGACGGAGGTTGCAGTGAGCCAATGTCGCACCACTGCACTCCAGACTGGGTGACAGAGTGAGATTCCATCCAAAAAAAAAAAAAAAGAGACTATTTTAATATCCTCTGAAGGATAAAAGTAGATATGACATACATAAAACAAGAACCCAGTGCTGTAAAAATGGAATACTCAAAGGACTAAAAAACTCTTGGAAATTTAATTCAGTGGAAAGTTTGACTGATAAAGGTAAAGAAATTTGCCAGAGAGTAACACATAAGGATCAGTTCAGATAGTCTGATGAGAAAAGTTCTAGAAAGAGAGAAAATAGGAGGAAGTCCTAACAAAATAACAAACACAAATTTCTTTATTGAAGAATAAAGACAAATTTCTTATTGAAAAGGCTCACTAAAAATCCAGGATGATAAATGAAAACATTTATTTTAAGACAATTGGTTGTGAAAATTTTAGTACATTGGGGCCAATTAAATTCTAAATATTTTCAGAGATTGAAAAAATAAAGCAGGTTTCATAATAATCAGAATGGCATCAGATTTCCTAGAATCAACATGAAAAGCTAGAAGACAGTGGAAGACAGTGAGTCCATGCCTTATATGCGGAAGGAAATTATACCCAACATATGATCTGTATCTAGCCATACTGTTTAGTATTTGCATAGAATAAATACATTTTTCCATATCCTAGGTTTCCAAAAGTTCACTTCCTATGTCTTCTTTCTTAGAAAGCTACTAGGACTTGTGTTTTCCCAAAACTAGGTAGTTAAAGTAAAAGATGTTGGATGCAGGAATTAGAGGGTCTGCTAGGAGACGAGTGAAAGGAATGCCTGCACAATGGTGAAGGAAAGCCCAGAGTGGCCTCAGATAGCAGACAGTCTAGACTAGAAGCTAATCAGAAGACAGGTACAATCATAGAACAGCTAACGAGCTTGCACGTTTTAAGAGATTTATGCAACTGGAAAAGTATTTGGGGTTTAACGATAAGAATGTAGACAATAAGCAAATGGAAGTAGAGATAATTTTTCTAGCTAATAGTATTTTTTTAAAAAAGAAATCGGGGTATGTTCTGTGCTCAGCTGTGGGGAGTTTATATAGTCATAATGATAACTGTAAGGGAAGGTACAACATATGTATATATTTGGAATGGTGGGGAGGAGGGTAAGTGTAGATGTGTGTGTGTGCAGGAGAGAGACCTGCAGCTTCACCTTTCCTAGTAAAATGTCAATACATTATGTTTGAAATTAAACAAGTTACAATAAGTCAAGAAAGTTAATAAGTAAAAGAAGTAAATACCAAAAAAAATGGACTGAAACAAAGTTGAAAATGTTGCCTTGGGGAGTGAGTGGAAAATGAAGTGAAAGAGACAGTAAGTACTGTTGTTTTTTGCAATAAGTCTCATAGACTATATGACTCTGTTTAAACTATGTGAAGGTATATATAATTATATAGCTATGAAGGTATATATTAAACTATCTGGAAGTATATGTAATTTTGATAAAAATTAAAGCTAAATTAAAAATAGTAAAGGATATTTGTGAAGAAACAGTTGAAACCAGGAAATTTTGCTATAGGATAGCAATAAAAATTCAAGGACTGTGTATGGGAATTATTACCTAAAAATAGCAAAAGTGAAACTTGATCAGGTTTTTAGGTATTCATTTGGTATTGGTAGTTAAGCTTTCATACAGAATAGCCCATTGGTACATGTTAGACATATTCCTGAAAGGCCTTTAAAATGAAATTTTATATTTAACTCCTTTCCTGTGAGCTTTTTATATAAGCAAATAAAGTTAATCATAACTTTCAGATTGTCTGATGTTAGTGAAATGCTTTATAAGGAATATCTAAGTTTTCACAGTACTGAATATCTTGAGTGTTCCAGTGTAGGATATAATAGGCAAGTTTAATAATTTTTGTGATCCTAAGTCAGTTCTGAACTTGGGAATCTTTATTGTTTATGGTTACTACTTAAGCGTTTTGTGACTTAGGTTTGTTAGATGCAGACTAAACAAATTTTTTAATTTTTTGTGTGTATTTGTCATCTTAAGTATGTATGTGTTTATGGGTGCAAACTAGGGAGTAGTTTCAGTATATATAGTTATCATATATAAAAATAAAATAACCAGCACTCTTAATAAAATAAATTTAATTGGGTTCTTTTTGGGGGGGTTCTCACAGATTGACTTAATATTTGAAAATATAAATTTACCATATTAACAAATAATAGGGAAAAGCGATTTGATCCTCAAAGCTTTGCAGATGGGGAAGGAAGGTAGGAGGGAAAAGTGCTGGATTCTTTATGGGAGAGCCTCGAGCCTCCCTCTTGGTGCAGGACAACTTATCAAAACTCACCATTCCAGGGCTTCTTGATAAGCACTCACATTTAAAAACAGAATCTCTTATTGTGAAACATCACATACACACAGAAAAGTACTTTCCTTCAAAATACATAGATGAAGCTGATTTCTCACAAAATACACATTTGTAACCATCACACAAGTCACGAAAGAGAACATTGACAGCACCCCAGGAATACTCTCTCATGTCCCTTCCGAAACACTACCTTCTTGAGTTCTTGTGTTAAAGAAAAAGGAAATTATTTTCTGGTTATTCTATTTTAAAATTGAAAACAAGAGTCTTAAACTCAGAAGTACAAGTTTTTGTTTGTTTGTTTATTTATTTATTTGTATTTTATATTTTTAAGACAGAGTCTTGCCCTGTCGCCCAGGCTGGAGTGCAGTGGTGCAATCACGGCTCACTGCAACCTCCACCTCCGGGGTTCAAGCAATTATCATGCGTCAACCTCCCAAGTAGCTTGGATTACAGGAGTGTGTGCCACCATGGCTGGCTAATTGTGTGTGTGTGTGTGTGTGTGTGTGTGTGTGTGTGTTTTTAGTAGAGACGGGGTTTCTCCATATTGGCCAGGCTGGTCTTGAGCTCCTGACCTCAGGTGATCCACCCTCCTTAGCCTCCCAAAGTGCTGGGATTATAGGCATGAGCCACCATGCCTGGCCCACCAGTTTTTATTTTTAAAAATTATTTTTCTATACCATATTAAGAAAAGACTGAAGAGAAATTAACAAGAATCACAGAAGAAAAAATGAGAATGGTAGAAACGAGAGATTGAGAGTCTTCAAAATAGAATATGAAAAAGATAAAATGTAATTTCCATAAGTTCTGAGACTACCAAAACGAAAATTGAGATAGATAGATGTGCACAAAGAAAAGACACTGTGCACACAGATGAAAGAATTTTCATGGAGCAGTATCACCACATACTTCTTTAAGGCGATTTCGGCTAAAAATCTTTTAGATGGATGCTTTTGAAATTATAGCAAAATCAATGTATTACTTCATAAACATTTTGTGCCTTGGATTTAACATTAAGCTGAAAGTTTCTTTATTCTTGATTCAATTTCTGTTTTCTGATAATTTGGAATTCTATAAGTAACTTTTTAAAATGTGGGGTATTGTATTCCTTTTCTGCTAACTATACTTTTTGAGTTTCCAATACTGTAATAAAAAGGGAATAATTAAGAGGTTAAAAAAGTACTAATAATTGAGAAAATGAACACTTATGTATATATATAATAGCCTTTATATATAGCTGTGTATGTGTGTTTATAGTCTTTTAATGTAAAGCTTATGTGTAATTTTTCTGATTATAAGGAAGAGTCATTCAGTCATTCTGATTACTAGGAAGATTGTCTTAGTGTGTTGTCTCTTACTGTTATTTTTGTATTTTTGTTAAAGGTGGGAACAAAGAAAAGATCCTCATGGTAGAACCTATTATGTGGATCATAATACTCGAACTACCACATGGGAGAGACCACAACCTTTACCTCCAGGGTAATATAGCATCTTTGTGCATCTGCAGTTATATTTGATCACATATGTGGTTTTCAGATTTATTTAGTACAGCATAATTTGATTCTTTCATTCTGCATATATTCAGTTTCTTTAAATTTCCTTGTATAAATAATGAATGTTCAGTCAATGAGACTAGATAGTCTGTAGGGCTTCTTCAAGAGACTGTCAAGCATTGGCATGAGTTACTGAGAGAAGTTGCAAAATTTGGTCAGTTATCAGTCCTTCCTTGTAATTTTTTTAAGGAAAGAAAGGTAATATTTAGGACAGTTTATATGTATGGTTCTGCAAGGATAGTGATCTAAAGTATGTTATTTCATAAGATTTAATGACTTAAATATTAAAGTGACCCAAAACTATAATCTACAAAGGTCTCCATGAGTGAACTTATACCTAAAATTGTAGAAAGTTTTAAATTAATAAAGTTTTTATTACATACTAAAATTCATGCTATTAGGCTGTCATTCAAGGCCATTCACAAACGAGTCTTCGTTTACTTTTGTATTTTTTCATAACTGTCTACATAACTGCACTGATAGCTAGTCGAATTGTACTATTTGCATTCATTTATCTCACGCTTTCTGTGTGTACCTGAAGTATATTTCTTAGATACTCAGATTTCCCTTCCAGATTCAATTTAAAGCCCACCATTATAAAACACATTCACAATCTAGAAAATTTAAGGCAGAGAAATGTTATTTTTGTGGGATATTTCTCTTTTATGGAACAAAGCACTTAGGCCTTGATTCTACAGTATTAAATGAGAACTTATTGGAAAACATGGCGCCGATATTGCAATATAGCAAACCGTGAAGTTCATTTTAACTCTGACAGGATCATCAAGTTATAGTCATTCATTTAGCCCATTCATTGAGTGCCATGACATGGGGTTTATTTCACTGAAACTGTTGTCCAAAAATTAGGCAGAGGTTGTCTTTAATTTCATCTTTAGCGTCTATTATTCTCTTTGTGACCCCATTGTATTTTTAGTAATAAGTTTTTTTTTTTTTTCTTTTTTTTTTTGAGACGGAGTCTTGCTCTGTCACCCAGGCTGGATGGAATGCAGTGGCCGGATCTCAGCTCACTGCAAGCTCCGCCTCCCGGGTTCACGCCATTCTCCTGCCTCAACCTCCCGAGTAGCTGGGACTACAGGCGCCCGCCACCTCGCCCGGCTAGTTTTTTGTATTTTTTAGTAGAGACGGGGTTTCACCGTGTTAGCCAGGATGGTATCGATCTTCTGACCTCGTGATCCGCCCGTCTCGGCCTCCCAAAGTGCTGGGATTACAGGCTTGAGCCACCGCGCCCGGCCGTATTTTTAGTAATAAGTTTAAGGAATTTATAATTGCTTGCTGAAAGGAGTTTACAATCATTTCATGAATTAATGATAAAAATTGGTTTAATAGATCCTACATGTGTAGAACAGGTGGGAGTTGGCATGAACCCTCGAGGATGAGTAGAATTCTGGTTGGTAGAGAAATAGGGAAGGGTATTCTGTGAGGCAAAAGCATGACAAAATTCAACTCATGACACCCTTGGAACCAGCAAATAGTTGGTTAGACTCTCACATGAGACCCTTGTAGGATCCCAGGGAGATGAGACTGAAAATGTGGACAGTACATTTTTATGCCATGCCAGTGAGCCATCGTGGGTGGAATGACATGGAGTCCACCTGCGTTTCAGGAAGAAAATTGGCAGCAATATAATGGCAGGAAGGTGAGTTGAAAAGTAATAAAAAGAGTTCAGTTAACTCATCCTGAACATGGGTATTGGCTATAGAGCAGATTGCTTGGTATACAGCAAGCACTGTCAGTAAATGCTTATCAAAGAAAGGAGAGGCCGGGCACGGTGGCTCATGCCTGTAATCCCAACACTTTGGGAGGCCGAGAGGTGGGAGGATCACCTGAGGTCAGTAGTTCAAGACCAGCCTGGCCAACATGGTGAAACCCCATCTCTACTAAAAATACAAAAAATTAGCTGGGTATGGTGGTCTGTGCCTGTAATCCCAGCTACCCAGGAGGCTGAGGCAGGAAAATCACTGGAACCTGGGAGGCAGAGGTTGCAGTGAGCCGAGATCACGCCATTGCACTTCAGCCTGGGTGACAAGAGCGAAACGCCATCTCACAAAAAAAAAAAAAAAAAAGAGAGAGAAAAAGGGTAGCCAGATTGATACTGAAACTGTTCTTTCAGTGGCCTCTTTTTAGACAGGTTTTAGAAATTGTATTAGGACTAATGCTCTCCCTCCCCTTGAGGGGCTTAAAACCTGTATGATGGGTTGATAGCTGCAGCAAACGACCATGGCGCATGTATACCTGTATAACAAACCTGCGTGTTCTACACATGTGTCCCGGAACTTAAAGTAAAATTTAAAAAATAAATAAATAAAAATAAGCAACCTCTTCTAGTGCGGGACTAAACATTACAGTGACTAAAGGAAATAAAAAGGTATTAGTGGGGTAGAATGGGAAGGTAATGTAGCTAAAATAAATAGTTCATAGTTTCATGTTTTAAGTATTTTAACATGTCTTGATATTTAAAGTGAGTGAAGTAATAACTGCTTTTCATTTTCTTATATTGAGAGATTATTGTTTATTTTTATTGTTTATTTGTGGTAGTTGGGAAAGAAGAGTTGATGATCGTGGAAGAGTTTATTATGTGGATCATAACACCAGAACAACAACGTGGCAGCGGCCTACCATGGAATCTGTCCGAAATTTTGAACAGTGGCAATCTCAGCGGAACCAATTGCAGGGAGCTATGCAACAGTTTAACCAACGATACCTCTATTCGGTAATTAGCAAATTATAAGATTGTTTACATAACTTCCTCCCTTATTTGTTTGTCCTTCTCTATTATGGTGATTTTTCTTTTCCTTTTTTTTTTTTTCTTTTTTTTTTTTTTTCTATTTTTTTTTTTTTTTTTTTTTTTTTTTTTTGCTATCCCTTGACCATAATCACATATCTGTTTTGGTGATTTTTAGAAATGGTATAGACTGTG